CTATTTTTAAATACACTGCGATGTTTGGGGACTTTACATTTAGTAAGAATCCTTTTCCAATTATTATTTAAATCGTGTGATCATGTAAACAAATGATTTTTCTTTCTACACAATATGAAAATTTACTTAACGATAGCTACATATAATTAAAATTAAATATATAATTATAAAATATGCCAGTGTCATTGCCTTATTCTATGATTCTGGGTCCTTTGTCAAAATGTATAGAATTTAGATATAAGGGAGTCATAGTTCCCGCTAAGGCTTGATTCTCTATCTGACCTTCACCCCTTTGTCATTTTTATTATTTTTTATTAATATTGTTTGTGTTTATTCATTTTAAGTACATATGCATTACAATGTGTAAGATTTGGGATCCCTTTTAAGTAAAAACTATCTGTGTCAGCGTTTCTAGCTCTTCCATAACAAACTTAATTATAAATTCCTTCAAATATATTTCTATATAATTTAATTACATCTTTTATTTTATTTTATTCATTTTTGTTTTTGATTTTTCAACTGTTATCAACACGCCTGAGTGCATCAGTAAGCGTGTGGGTGCAAATGTGTGAGTGAGTGAGTGAGTCAGTGAGTGAATGAATAAAGTGTGTAACTACATACTAGGTCTCAGAAGCATCTCTATCACTGCGGAAGGTGCGGTCATAAGCAAGCCGTATTTTTAGATTGTAGACATATTTATCATATATATTTGGTAGAAAGGGTTAATTATCACTTACCGACCTTTACTCATAGATTTTTTAAACTAAAGTAAAGTCCGGTCCCGATTTGTCAAGCTCCGTGTGACGAAAAGAGATAGATAAGAATTTTAGTTAAGTTCGACTGATTTCTTTTTTATTATATACTATATGTATCTTGTTCATTGTTACGTCAACTTCTCATTAGGTGACAAATATACGTATATATTTAGAAATACAAGAATGCCGAACCCGTTCAATATCGCGTGATATTATAAATATATTCTGAAACTGTTTTATAACCGTTATAAGACCATATTGGAAAGCTTTTATTGGCTAACTTACTGACACTTTGCTTGAGTCTGATTGAGTTTATATCCTATAAAAGTGTTTTATTCTACAAGAACGTTCAATGCATTTGTAATCGTTTTATTTCTTACTTAATAAATTCTAAAATACATCTTACACTAACAAATATCAATAATATTACGGAAATTTAAAAATAATAATGCATGTAGTTCTAGCAGTAAAATAATAATTATATTTTACCCTAGTATTTAGAAATGTTACGGCTCTGCAGCAGTGACGCTGTCTATTGAATGCTATCAACCAAATTAAAAAGCGTAATTAATAATAACAGTACGAAAAAATAGTGCTCAAGAACAGAGCCCCGTCAATAGACACTCTACTTAGGGTCTGTTTCACAATCTATGGATAAAGTACCAAATAGCTATGCAACACATACATTATTTGGAAGATAAATTGTGCTACAAGACATTCATCGGACTCATAACTTATGATGGACTTTATGTGACGAATAGCGCTATCTGACAGTCGTGAAACGCAACAATAGTATTTAATGTTTATCCTACCAATAAGAAATAAATAGCTAATTTGGAACTTATGTAGAACTTATCCGTACATTGTGAAACAAACCCTTAGTGTTATTGGTCACTTTCTTGTTTTAAATATCAAATTCAAAAATCATTTAATCATATAGGTCACACATTGTACACTTATGACTTGTCAGTAAAGAAATACATATTAATGCTTCTAATTTTACATTTAGTGCCAGTTCTCAAATCAAGGGCGTAGAACGGAAGAGAAGAACAGGCAATAAACTCTCCGCCACTCTTTTTAATCGCCATGTTTTTTTTTTACACAACGTTTGTAAGGAGCTGCAACCATTACACCATGTTCCACATGACATCTTAATTAATTAATAATAATAACATAAATTAAAAACAAAGACTTGTCCTCTATCAGCAGGCATGGTGAAATAGGAGCACGCACTTACATTCTCGTGGGAACAACACGCAAACACATAGTCGAAATAATTAACATCACCGCATACACGAATTCAAGTTCGACCTGTCACCACAAGTAGCACCCGTTCACGAGTATGACGCATGGCCAGCCATCGGCCCCCTCGCCATATTTTAGGGAGAGAGACAACCCGACGCATGGACGCCGCCACAAGCAACAACATTAAGCGAGCATGACGATCCTTGAAATGTGAACTTGGCTTCATAAGAAAATAATAATAATACTGAAATAATTTGATACCACATGGATCACGGTTTGTTCCCACTTTACATTAAAACAGTCGTGGATGTTGACGATCGCCCCAGAGTCTGGAAATGCAGCCGAGAGATTCAGTCGCGTTACCTAGTTATACTGGAGCAACTCATATCCAAGCACTAGGATCGTTTAAATATTCATTTATATTATAATAAGCCTTAGCAAGCAGTTTTACTTTAATGTACGATTTAAATTTATTTATTGACAACGCTTGTATCTCACTAGGGATTTTGTTGAAAAAACGTATACAATTGCCTTGGAAAGAATTACTCGTTTTATGCAGCCTTCTGGTTGGTGCGCTAATTTTGTCTTTATTACGAGTACTATAATTATGGAAGCTACTATTCTTTTTAAACATATCTATATTTTTCCGCACATACAAAATATTCTCATAAATGTATTGACTTGCCAGAGTCAAAATATGTAGTTCCTTAAATCTATATAATATCTTATATAAATATACTTAAATTACTTATTAGTCTTAAATAGACTAGATTTTAATGTTAAATGATGTCTTTGGGCAGAGACAATGTATAAAAAATAAACAAATTTTAAAAATATCATAATATACCATATCATTTTATTGCTTGTTATAACGGTTCCTAATATAAACCTTAGATCTGCCAAGATGATACATGAACAATGAAAAAAAGTGTGTGTGTGTCAGCTACGACGCACGATTGGAGTTTACTCCTTACGAACGATAAAATGGCGATAATGTTCTGTGGCTGTCGACCATATTTTCATACTAAAGGTGGTAAGAATATATGTCTTTATAATATAAATGTTTGTCTATGCCCAAATGGGATTTTCTTTCTGTGACCAAAGTTACCTTTATAGTAAGAGAAGAATAAGAATGAACAATCTTTTTAGTTTTAATTTCACTGACTATTACTATTGACAAAACTCTATGGCACGCTAGACTACTTTTATTTTTTACACCTGTCAACACTGACAATGTTGTAACGTGGCTGTCAAAACGTGAATTCAAAATAGAAAAGTCTGTGTAATGTATTCCATCTCATTCTTTTACACGTTCAATCCTACAGATATATATGTTTGTCTCTTTCTACATAACGCCTCAACTTTTCGTGTTACACTGGATTTTACTCCTCATAAAATTTCCGTACCGGGCCTTATGACTCAAATCGTTTCTTAAGGAGTAAACTCCAAAAACTTTCGCGTCGACCGAAAAATGTAAAATGAATTAATAAATTCTTTGTTCCTTTACAAATCACTTTTAGATACAAAAATTATAGGCTACTTACAAAATTCCGTTCTGCGTTCAAACACAGCAACTTTCACAGCAATTGTCCTTATCCACTACAAGTCTAAGTAGATAAATAAACTAATTGGGCTTGGAGCTCATCTCGTTATCCCAACGGACTGAGTGGCTGTTGATTTACACGTTCCGCTGATACCTTCGTTACTGCACTTTGTTCTTCCGCTACGTTAGTCGCTTTTATTTTTAGCTTTACGTAGATCGCACAAATGTTTTTGTTCCTCGAATTTTAATGTACTTTTCACTTAATGGCGGAGCCTCTGTTTCGTTGAAAGGAACGTGAAATGTTATATGTTAAAAGCAAATTGTATTTTTAATACTTATTTTGATCACATGTATCGTTATTGCGTTCTTTATCTTATTTAGGATCTATTATCCAAATAAGATACGAGTCCATATCCTACGAGTGATGAGTTTTTTTTCTGAAACACCATTAGGTTAGTCCTTCTTCGTAGAGAACTGACGTTATAAAGAACTCCTAGTTTTTCATTGAGACATACAGTGAAACTAGTAGTAGCAGGTTTTGTTTGTTCCAGTATCTATAAAATTGGATAAATTTTAACAATAGATTTTATATAATTGCGCCTAAAAAGAATTCTTAACATAATACGTACACGTACGTAAGTTCGTTCGTTCGTACGTAACGTTCCTTTAAGTAAATAAGTATATAGCAGTAGTATAAGTGAGAAATGTTACAACGCTAACAATAGATAAGTTAATTCATATTAGGATTAAATTTTCATAATATGTTGTATAGAATTTAATCAATAACCCCTAACTAACGTAAATAGCGTACATTATATTAAATTATGTGATAATTAGGTCTCATCATTATTAATTAATAGGATAATGTGTTTTCTCTAATTATAATGCATTGTGCATCAATATGAATTATGACAATATATTATTTTGGATAATATTAACTTGATTGTATTATGATTAACAATGGATAGGATAATAAATTCTTTCCTTGGTATACCTATAGACTTTTAAACACAAAAAAAAATTTGTTAGAAATATGGAATCGCGTACTAATCACGTGTTCTATAAAACTGTAGTACATCACTTTGCTTTATTGTCAATAGTTTCCGCAGTGTCGCATACGCTGGGAATTTTAGTAGGTCTTTTTCACATCTTGGGTTACACTATCGTAATTTCATACAGGACCCTAACTTTTTTGAAAATATTCACTTGAATGGTTCTGGTGAAAGAATTTTTCAAAACAGTCTGTAGTTTTGGAGCCTTTTTAATGCAAACAATCAAATCATTCCTCTTTATAATGAATGTAGACATGTATACTGTATAGGCCCACGCTCATATATACATATTATTGGCGCACAAATACCTAAAGAGAAATACTGCTAAGACCAGGGCTAAAACGTAGTGTTTATATTTGGTCTAACACTAAGCTGACAGCGTTATTTATTTTTAGTAATCAAAAAATGAAGAGATCGTATAAAAGTAACGATCACTTTGGATTCGCTACTTTGACTCAGGCTAAGTTCAGTGATGCCACAATACACTTAAGCTTAGATTTTGATACAAGTTTACGTACAGCTGAAAGCTCAAAAGCTGTTAGAAAACCAACCTGCTTAAGTTACGAGTGTTACAGAAGAGTAAAGCAAATATATTTCATACGCAATTCATTAAAATTTATATCTCATACTCCGTTTAACTGGCAAACAGTGAACGTGTTGAAAATACAAACTCAACGGGGCTTAGTCCACTATAAAATAAAGGAAAAATTTATTTTGGCATGCCATAGTCGAATTTTAACAACCACAAAATGGACTTTAAAGTTTGTTGCGAGCTAACAAAAAATTCTCCGAGCATGTGTCACCCGCAGTCCACAACTTGGCGATATTCTTTCTTAACTTGTTTCTTAGTTCGAAGCTTTGCTCAAGTGTTTTTGTGCTGGTTGCAGCTTGTTGTAAACTAATATTGTGAATATGAAAGTTCATAATATAAGTATACTTTCGGAATATAAATAAAAAACTATAAGCTATTTCTCTTAATTCAATATTAAATCGTGTATATTTAGGATAAAATATAAAATTGAACTATAATTCCTATAACAAAGATGAACACGGGACGATTTTTTTTCAATAAACCTAGGCATCGAGTAACGGCATGAAATGTGATTGATTTTTGGTCACACATTATAGAAATCAAAGTAATAAGAATTAAACATTCAAACACTTATCTGTGAAGTATGTTTTTCTTCTGAAACCTGTTGCGAGTTTGATGAATTTCATAAGAGATTTTGTACTTTTAATAAACATAACTAACATAACATAATTAACATGCGACAAAAACGTTAGCCATATTTCTGTTGCGGAAATAAATTGCTTCTTTTTATTATGAAAATAACCTATAATTCAGTGATTTCCAGTTGAGCATGGAACCGCCATTCTAAAACGATTTTTGTCTCAAATTGAATGGAGTATGTTATGAAATGATAAGTAAGTCTTAATAATAATCCTAAATTGATTAAAACAGTAGTTTGTTTTAAAAAATATTTTGCATATTTATGACTATTGTATGTTGTATTTTACATTTGCATTAGCATTGCACCACTAATGTCTTAGGCATTCGCTGTGTACGAAAAATATTCAAACAATATTTCCGTTTAGTTGTTATTATTCGTTAGTAAACAAAATATTCTTATTTCTTATTTTTACGTTCTTTTGAAATGCGTGTTCAAATAAATATAATTTATACATGTGTTTGACTTTAATAACGGAAACTTATAAACGTCAGTACAAAGAAATGTTTTTTTTAAATTTACATTTACTGCTAGATCTCAAGAGTGTAGAACGGACGAGATCGAATCGCCATGGTCTTTTTACAAAATATTTGTAAGCATCTGCAATTATTACATGATCCTCATTACATGTTAAAGCAGATCATTATTGTAATGAAATAAAAACTAGTAAACGACTATGAAACGTTTCACATCTATCGGCAAGGCGCGGTGAAAAAGGAGCGCATGCACTTGTATTACTGTGAAAAGCATTCACACACACGTAGTATCAAAGTATATACACAGTTCACGAATACAACGGATGGCCAGCCATCGGCCCCCTCGCCATATTGTAAAGATGAGAGAGACAACCAGACGCATGGACACAAGCAATGACATTAAACTATGAAGATATGAAGTAAGTCAGATAAATGAAACATAATAATAAAATAATTAATCACTGATTTGTTTCAGCTTATATTATATATTTGAGTAGACGCGGTTAGTGTTAAGGAGTCTGGAAACGAAGCCAATAGTGTGCCTGTGCTAAATGTTCACGAGTTGATACGAATGCTATATAATTAATTTAGCTACGTAGAATGTTAGCAAAAAATATGTTAAATTATAAGCTATTTCTCTTCATTCAATATTAAATCATGGATATAAAGGATAAAATATAAAATTGAACTATAATCCCTATAACATAGATAACGAATATTTTTTCAATAAACCTAGGCATCGAGTACCGGCTTAAAATATGATTGTTTTTTGTTCACAGATTATAAGTTATCGTATTTATAACAAAGTAACAATAATTTAACATTCAAACAAAGCGTGCAAGAGCTACTTTATATATTTAATTATTTATCTTATTTGTGTCATATCTTTATCTAATATTTTTCCTTTTCTTATGAAATGTTTCTTTATAATAAAGAATATTGGAATATATTTCTCATCTACCTTGAATCAAAAGGCCTTCAAAGGTTTCAAATCTGCCTATGGAGAAATTTTGATCATCAGTTTAAACGTCTTTCTTATGCTGTCTCACTGAAACCTTTTAAGCTTTTGGCAAATAATCGTTTTTATATGTGGCAATTCCAGACAAGACAATCAGTTGAACGGTACAACGGTGGAATTGTGAAGTAGGTTACAATAAACACAAGTCCCAATACGTATTAGGTAATCTTCTACTTATCAATCCGAAACAAATGCTATGTCGGAAATAAACCAAGAGTTTGTTTGCCGCTACTAAAGGGACAGTCACACAATGAAGAATTCGAACAAAATCAAAATGGGGCTACAGTGAATATATGGCTTTAGGTATAGGACTCTAAGGTGCTATTTCAAAAATCCTCTGCTAAATTAATTATTAATTGCATTATTTTTGTTTCAGCTCTCCGCAACGTTGATAGCATTGTTGTCGATTCACGTCGCTGATGAAGGACACGCTGTTAATCCAAGTAAGTACAGTTAATATTCGTTAAAATTAAAATACAACAATTATGCATTAATGGGTTGGCGAAAATCATTTTGTCCATTATATCGTTGAACATTACATGTACTTTTAATGCAAAGAAAGATACACAAATGTAAACAGTACAAAACAAGTAAACAATAGCATTATCGATTAATGAATTATACATTTGGATCAACATGCGTTTAGCGTAAACACCTCGAACGAAACATGTTTGAAGACTTTGTAATTGGGTAAAAATAGCGTTATTTATCAGCAACTTCATTTGAATGGTCAGTTAATACCTACCTGTAAAGAAAAATCGATCAATGTCTGGGTCTCCGATATATATTTAGATATCGACTTAGGTCACCCGCAAACCGGGCATGGCTTATTTGATTCAATGTGAGCTTGATGTGTTAATAGGCCGAACGATTGTCATTTTATAACGATTTTGGCGGCGTTCAAAACATGTAGTATTACTATATTATTTATTTATTTGCCTAACGGTATTCCTACAGCTACTTACGTGTACTATACAATATTCAAAAAATTATACTATACACAAGCCAAAAACGGAATACACATTTAAACACACACAAAGCACAGTTACACCTATACAAATACAAAAAAAATATATAAAGAATATATGTATTTATAATAAATTCTAAATTCTAAGATTCATAGTTCATGAGGAATAACAAAGCCATTCTATCTAATAAAGGATACTTGAGTTTTTATATAATTTCTTAAGCATTTTTTAGATACATTAAATATATCTATTTGTTGGTAATTTCTGTTATAATCTGAAGACTGTTATAATTGACAAACATAATATACATATATATGCAAACTAGATATTGTCAGATTTATGACATTATTCTAATTAATTAAAGATAATTAATTTATAGCATACATAAGTTGTAAAAATGGCCAACTTTGTGCAACCCAGCTACTGCTACCATTTCTCATAGCAGCAAATCTATGAAGCACGTACAAATATATAAAGCACAGTTGCAGTTTCATTATTTAATAAAGCCATATAGTTCTACAAGCATTTTTCTAATATTAAATAAAAGTTCAAGGAAGATACCTCACTAATTAATGTACAATACGGGGCAACAAAAATTTACAGAATTATTTAGAACATATCATATATTGAACGCTTAAAGAACCTTTTACTAACGCTTCTTAAAAATAGATAGTGGAAATCCCTTAGAATTATAAAATTCATTCTCGTTATTGAATGTAAAACCCATTAAGAATATATTGTTTTTGTTAGGTGTTGATACCAAAAGAACGAACTATCAGAGAATGTTCTCTTGGTCGTTTCACTGAATTGTTAAAAAAACTAATTACATAGATGATTCTTCTTATCTTATATACACCAATAATAATAATAAAATTTAACTTTATAAACAAAACAAACTTAATTTAAGCTTGATATTTATTGTTAAAAGAAATTGAGTATCCTTCTTTGAGGTTCATTTGATTTTTAGAAATGAACCGAGGACTAGTTTATATATAACTGCTAGCAGACGGTTGCGCAGCTAAGGTTTTTGTTATATTACATAGTAGTAAACTATTCAAGGGAAGCGGTAGGTGCACACCAGTCATGGGGACCACTATGCTTGAGTTGTGGTTATGCCATTAAATTGTAGCTTATGTGAATCGTTGGTACTTTCAACACAGCGCCATCTGTTAGAATAATTGTGACTATTAAATAATAAACAAATATTTTGCAATAAAATAATATTGCGGGTACAAATTGAGATGTAAGCTATCCTACCTTTAAAGTTGGATCAAAATGCACACGGTGTGCAAATTTGATTGATATCGGTGCGGTAGTTTAGAAGTCCATTGCAGAAAAACAACGTGACACGTTATTTATATATATTAAGATATATACATCATGTGTGATAACGCTATGTACTGATTTCAATTTCGTCACCAATTGCCTTGATTATGTATGTGAAACTAAAAGCAATTCCTGACTATAAAGTGTCTAATAAAAACCTTATAAAACTATCATTAATGTAAAACGTTTATGCAGTAATAATTATGCAGTCCTAAGTATAAAAACTCGTATATAAAATACACAATCATTTTGAAACGAATCAATTTGGATCGTTGCAGATGTTTTGAACAAATTAAATCAATATAAATTTAAGTCTACTTTCTCTTTCTTTGTCGGTATTTTATATGAGGATCATAATTCGTTCCAGCCGTTTAAAAGGAGTTCAGTGACAGTAGAATTATGTATATATTTAGTTTTTTTTTTTTTTTATAGAACAGGGGGCAAACGGGCAGGAGGCTCACCTGATGTTAAGTGATACCGCCGCCCATGGACACTCTCAATGCCAGAGGGCTCGCGAGTGCGTTGCCGGCCTTTCAAGACTTGGTACGCTCTTTTCTTGAAGGACCCTAAGTCGAATTGGTTCGGAAATACATCAGTGGGCAGCTGGTTCCACAAAGTGGTGGTGCGCGGCAAAATCTGCCTTGAAAAACGCTCAGTTGTGAAACGGCGGACGTCGAGGTGATACGGGTGGAATTTCGTACTCTGCCTCGACGTCCGATGATGAAACTCAGCTGCAGGTATTAATCCGAACAACTCCTCTGAACACTCTCCATGGTAAATGCGGTAGAAGATGCAGAGTGACCCCACATCTCTACGCAACGCCAAAGGATCAAGCCGCTCGGAGAGGGATTGGTCATCGAAGAGATTTGACACACAAGATTTGTCATCTTAAGTGAAACGTACGAGTTGGTATAGGTGGTTAAAAATTTGAAAATGAATATCATTATTATGTATTTCTGTGTTTGTCGAAATAATGCTAAGGATGTACTTGTTTTAGATTGTTTAAAATCTCGATATAACGATTTTCCATCTGTTTCACTACCACTTCATGCACGTACGATGTACAGGCTTAATTAATATTTGATTATGAGTAAATTATATAATGTTGATGAGCATAATCAATACTGTGTCACGTTATTGGATCCTTCAGATTCCGGATAATATTCATAACATTAGACATAATCTAATGCATGTGAATATTCATCGAGGCTGGATTTGAGAATATTAAGCTCCGGTTAAGTTAGGGAATGTCGATATTAACCTATTACGGATATAACTAATAGTTGAATGGCCAATTTCTACCCGTTCTAATAAAAATTTATTGAACTCTCGAGACTGCAGTGTAGTTTTAGGGTTTTAGGTAACACTTGTGTTGGTGGCGATATTCACATGTGGTTGAACTGGGTTTTCAAAACCAATACATCAATTTTAATTTTAATTTAAGAGAGGAGGTGAACACCTTATAGCACCCGTCTTTGGGTAAGTTAGCGGTAAGTATGAGTACAAAAAAAACCAGTGGTGCTACCTGTTAGGTCTGGTCTGGTGGTTTTCATTTGTTTTTCTAATAGGCAAGTAAATGGTTGGTCTTCTGTGTCTGACATACACCGATATTTTAGGTTTTTGGAATGCCAGATTCCTTACAATGATTGCCATCATAGTATGATCGCTAGAAGTCTATTGTGGTATGGTTGTGCACCATGTAATCAGATATCAAGTTGCACGCTGAAACCTCCAACACTGGTCTCTTTGTCTCTCTTGTCATATTATATGACTGACATACGTCAAAAATGTACACAATGACGTACATATTTTTGTGGACACAAAAAAATGTTTTAAAGACGAACCTACTTTTTTATATGTAGAGGTGCTTAACTTAACACATACAACTTATTTGTTTAAGTTCTATAATACTGTAGGATCATTATAAAAATATAAATGGCTAAATGCCTTACTCAAGCTAAACTTTATGAGTTGGTGTAATATTATAAAACAATAATGATATTAACATTTTAGTTCAAAGTTTTAAAGAGCTTAATAATTTGTAGACAATTCTGAAAGTATGCGTTTGTGATCAAACCTTTTTACCTTCCTGCGTTTGATCCTATTACAATGTGAATAACGGTATATAACAAATTAAGTAACTGATTATTTGAGTGCCAACGAAAAAAAGATTGATTCACTTTCAAAAGTATAAAGAGAATATGTCAAGTCTAGAACATAGAATAAAATTTTAATAAAAGGACCGACACGACGGAAAGCTCGGATTATAACTGAGTGCAGACCAGGGAAAAGCATTACACGGCCGACATTCATATTTTATTTGTAGCGAAGCACTCTCAGTTATTAGAAACTTTTGGATTTATGTCGAGTGTGTGTTTAAAAATAATTTTTATCATTCAAAGCTAAATTTTAACCTATTTAGGTGAATTAATAAATAATTATAACGTTATTACCTACTTCGTTTAATAATGTATAATTTAGCGTTTTTACTATAAGTAAAAATATATATTTTTTCAAGTATTTAGGGATAATTAATTTGGAATAGTATTTATATTTGAATTTTTGTACCTTTACTTTAAACATGAGGATGACTCTCTGGCCCACACTGCGAAGGAGAAGGCCGACCTTTTGGGCTGTCTCTTCGCGTCCAACTCGACTTTGGATGACCAAGGAAGAACACCACCGACCATTTCGCGGTGTGATTCTTCGATGCCGGAAATCACATTCCGGCAACGTGCTGTCCGCAAAGCACTATCTTCCTTGGACATTCATAAGTCGAGCGGGCCGGATGGTATCCCCCCAATTGTGCTGCGTACTTGTGCTCCTGAGTTGGCTCCGGTCTTAACGCGCCTTTTCCGGTACCTGTACTCGCTCGGCACTGTCCCGAAGTGCTGGAAGACCGCTTCGATACATCCGATCCCTAAAAAAGGCGATCGCTCTGATCCGTCCAACTATCGCCCAATAGCTATAACCTCCTTGTTCTCCAAAATAATGGAAACCATTATTAATTGCCAGCTCTTGTGGTATCTAGAGGGCCACCAGTTGATTAGCGATTCTCAGTACGGCTTTCGTCGTGGTCGCTCAGCTGGTGACCTCCTTGTATACCTTACCCATAGGTGGGCAGAGGCAATTGAGTCCAAGGGGAGGCGCTGGTGGTAAGTTTGGACATAGCGAAAGCCTTCGATCGGGTGTGGCACAGAGCACTGCTCTCGAAGCTTCCAGCCTATGGGCTTCCCGAGAAATTATGCGATTGGATCTCCAGCTTTCTGGCCGATCGGAGCATCAAGGTCGTCATCGATGGAGCATGTTCCGACCTTAAACCTTTGAACGCTGGGGTCCCACAAGGCTGTGTTCTATCCCCGACCCTATTTCTTTTGCATATCAATGATATGTTGCAACTTAGCAACATTCATTGCTATGAGGATGACAGCACTGGGGATACTTTTTACACTGGCCGGGCAGGTATTTCTCGGGCAGTTGTTGATGAGTACCGGAACAAACTTGTGTCTGAAGTCGAAACTCTACTACGTGGAGTCTCAGACTGGGGCAGACAAAACCTAGTCCAATTTATCCCCAGGAAGACACAAGTTTGCGCGTTTTCCGCTAAAAAACACCCTTTGTCGGTACTCCTCTTTTCGAAAACACTCTTCTTAAAGCCACAGCCAGCATTGGAATACTTGGCGTTGACATATCGAACGACGTTCAGTTTCGCGGTCACTTGGAGGGAAAGGCTAAATTAGCCTCCAAAAAGCTTGGTGTGCTCAGCAAGGCGAGGCGGTACTTCACTCCGGGCCACCGCATGCAACTATATAAAGCGCAAATTCGGCCCCACATGGAGTACTGCTCTCACCTCTGGGCGGGGGCTCCCAGTACCAGCTCCTTCCACTTGACCGTATACATTGCAGAGCGGTTCGAATCGTCGACGACCAATCCCTCTCCGAGCGGCTTGATCCTTTAGCGTTGCGTAGAGATGTGGGGTGACTCTGCATCTTCTACCGCATTTACCATGGAGAGTGTTCAGAGGAGTTGTTCGGATTAATACCTGCAGCTGAGTTTCATCATCGGACGTCGAGACAGAATACGAAATTCCACCCGTATCACCTCGACGTCCGCCGTTCCACAACTGAGCGTTTGTCAAGGCAGTTTTTGCCGCGCACCACCACTATGTGGAATCAGCTGCCCGCTGAAGTATTTCCGAACCAATTCGACTTAGGGTCCTTCAAGAAAAGAGCGTACCAATTCTTAAAAGGCCGGCAACGCACTCGCGAGCCCTCTGGCATTGAGAGTGTCCATGGGCGGCGGTATCACTTAACATCAGGTGAGCCTCCTGCCCGTTTGCCCCCCGTTCTAAAAAAAAAAAAAAAAGTTGTAATTTCAATATTTTTATAGTACAAATAAATCAGAACGTACAAGGCAGTTGACAGTATTTTAATATTTTATACAAAGATGCACAAATTAGAGGAAATATTATATAAATAAAATATATATATTAGTAACAATAGTACATTACAAAATTGCAAAAACTTAAATTATTGGTACATACCTTGGTACATGGTACACCGTTGGTACATAGGTACATGTACTTGGTATGCTTGTGAAGTAGCTAAAGTTACCCCACATGTAATTTATTATGCCGTTCGACCACTGTTGCCGGAAATTGTGTCGGTTTGATCTCGGTCTAACGGACGCTGAGTTCTACTCAACGATCATTTTGTTATGAAATTTGGGTTAGGTTAGGTTAGGTTAGGTTATATATATATAGCATAACGATTTGTTATGCTATATTACTACGAAAACATCCTGCGCTCTTTTGTTTAATAATCCAAATAAATTATATAGGTCGGTTATCGAAAGCTGGCGGGTTCACAGTACTCACACTAATGCAATTTCACATATAGTATGTTTCAAAATAGGATTTTTTTGCCAAGCTATATATTTTAGTCTACTCTGGTTTTAGTAAGGTTGGGTGGGTTGTAAATAAATAAAAATGTGTCAAATACATATAAATATTAGGTGCATACGAGGGTGGATCCAAAAGTTCTAAGCCAGACCAAGAACGTGAAAGAGTAGTTCGTGTAAATAATTTTTCATTTTTCGACATACGCTCCATCTAGCCATGACTTTGTTGGTCGACAAAACGACCTTAGCCGTTTTCGGAGTAGGTGTTGTTTGCTGTTGCTTTGATTCAGGAGTATGGTGGTGAACCCAGCTTTCAACAAATCAAAAAAAAAAATCAAATCAGCTTTCAGCATCTGATGTCAAATGAAATATAAAATTTTTTCATTAAACTGTTTTTATTAAGAAGCTTAAAATAATTAAAAACATTGTGCACCATTTCACGAGATTGCCCTGGTAATATTTGAAAAAAGATCAACATGTATAGTAAAGATCAACATAAACAGTAGCAAAAGCAAAACAATAACTGTCTCTTTTATACTCATAAGCTTGACCGAGCGCGAGAGAGACGGACAGTCTTTTCATGATGTATTTGTGATTGTATTTCAGTTTGACATCACGCCTCGCGCATATTCACAGACACTACACAAGCACAAAGTGTAAATGTGTTGAAGCCGCCAGCTTTAAATAACATACCAATACTATGTGTACTGTGCATGGTGCGGGTGACAGTAGCTTAATTTTTCTTTCAATTTGATTTTATTCGTAGACTTGAACATTCTTGCTGGGTTAAATTTAAGTTACTACACTTATTAATGATTTACTATATTACGAATGTGGTACAGCTGAAATACTAAGTCATTATTTGTAAATCGCGGCAACGCGATATTATTTGTGTGTGACGTAATCAAGAGTGAAACAAAAAAAATTAAGCAACTGTCACATAGTATATATGTATATGACGATAATGTCAATGTCAGACGTCAGTACGATTGTGACTACAGGTTGTAGATACATTAGCGTTATTAACATCACCAACCAGTACCAGTAAATCAAAATGTACAACTCCAGTTCTAAGTGAAATTCCAAGTAACATAAGCAGAACAAGTTTCCTTACGCGTAACTCGTGTCATGTGATGTACGTCGCAAATTTATTAAAATATTCAATTTATGTAATTGAATGAAATGGTATTAGGTTTAATTTTAATCAGTGTAACAGACATTGCCTAAATTTAATAAAAGCGTGAGGACTGACGACATTTTCCTTGAAGTCGTCCTAATTTCTCAGGCCGAGAATACTTCAATTTTCTACTTGACAATGTGACATTGCTAAGCCGACTTAGATTTGTTATTTAATAGCCATTACGAATTATTTATATTATGAGCTTAGCTTTGTGGTTGACGCATATATATAGCATATAACCTGGAGGTCCGTGGTTCTCCAGCCAATAATTAATAAATTTGTTTGTACATCTACACGCCGTAAAAAATATGATTGTCCTATGCAGTCTACAGGTCAGCAGTGATAGGTAATTGCGTAATTGATGCCAAGTTATATAAGTATCTGCATTTTTAACTCGGATTGAACTAAAAGTATTGGATTAACTTATATATACTAAATTCTTATTATATACTACACATATATACATACTACTCAATTGAAGGCGGAATCGGCATAAACATAAAAATATGTTCTGGTTTAAAACAAACACGCCTGATAAAACATTTTTGCCCTTTACTTACTTATACGAACTTACCTTCAATTAATGAATAAAAGTTATAATAGATATAATTATAAAAGTTGATTTGTTTCAAAATTTCGCTTTACCAAAACCCGAGTGGAGTATATTTTAATAAACAAACAAATACAGGTAGAGTATATATTTTCAGGTTGTTCGTGTATCCGGTTCACGGCTGGGGCGGGCGGCGCAACGCGCGGTACGTTCAGCAGCCCGGACTTTCCTCATGCATACCCTCGCGCCCTCTGCCTTCTTTACACATTCATCGCGCAACCCCACCAGATCATTGAAATTGTATTCAGTGATTTCGACGTGTACAAGGACCATGTCGAGTAAGTATGAGATATTTTTATGTATTAAACTGGTTTTTCTTAAAGTGAGTGATAGTTCGATGTGATATAATGCAAATGTCTTTTATAGAAACTTTCTTAGCAAAATAGTAAATTAAAATGGTCGTAAATATATTAATAACAGTAATAGTATCAAGTCGTGGTTAATATGTCTAGAAGTTTTTCTGATAACCCAAAACCAAATCATTTTGTAATATATCATTAAAAAAACAACAAAAAGTATTTGTTTTGAATTGAGATTTATCTATTTTAACCAAATTTCTACCATTGGAACCATTTAACACTAATTCGATAAAAAAAAAACAAAACATTATCAAAACAAACAATCTTGAACTGAATATACTCGTATCAGTCTTTACCGCAACAGTGTTAGGTGTGAGCAATGCACGCGTAAATTATGCATTTCTGAGGTACACATTCATTTATTTCCCTAGTACCCGTGACCGTTAGGGCACTCTCTATCAACAGCTAACAGTTGGCTAGAAGTTCTTAAATAACATGTATTAATCATAGACTGATGGAATCAAAGTTTGAAGTGTAATTTATCTTCCGAATTGACGTAAAAAGCTAATCACTGGCATGACACGCCGCCGAACTCCGATACCGCTAAGATTACGCAAGTTAGCCAATTTGTTACTTATTACTTACGTGACGATGTTATTAATTAACTAACAATTTTCCTCGGCTTCGTCTTAGTGAAAGATCCACTACACAAGATAAAACTGTAACACCATACATTACACATAACTGCAAATTTAGCTTTCGCATTAATATTGCATAGTTATTTCTTATTAGGCTGTATCAACAACTAATACACAATAAAAGTAATGATTTCATTAGATATTTCAGAACAATTGTTGCTGCGACAAATTATATAGAATAGGAAATAATTGCTAATTTTACAGCCTCGAATTAATGGTTAACGATTGTATACTTCTGTAGTTTGAATCCCGTCGAAAAAATAACTGTTTACTGACGGTGACGAAAATCTTGAGGAACCAAATATTTCCATTAATAATCGCTGACGCCGTGTCTTAATACGTTACTTAACAGAAAATCAATGTTTTAATTGGATACAAATATTTCGATGTTATATATAATTAACCTTAGAAAATAATTATGTTTAAAGCTTAGTTAATACATAAAAGCTAGCGGCTTCCGACGAACTACGGTTACACAATGTGAAACAACATTTGAAAAGATTGCGGACAATAATTGAGGTTTCTAAGCTTTCTCATTTCACTAGATTATTCTTAATTATTCTCTAGATTTCTTGGACTTGTAGGTCAACGAGTTTTCTTCCTTCCATTTTCCGGTCATTTGGCAATGAAATTGAGAGAATTCTATAGGATTCTTGTATGTTTTGTTACAAAAGAATCGCGTACGTAAAATATGCTTAGTACTTTTTAAAATGGTAATTATATTCTGTATATCTCGAGATTAAAATTATTTTGAAGTCTTCAATAAGTATTCATTCTATATAATAATCATGTTTTTAAATATATAAATGAGTTTCTAAAAAAATCTATGTATGCCAACTATAAAATACATTAATGTTAATGTCAAAATCATGAGATCTTCTAAGTATAAAAGACTCATACAAAAGGTGTTTGTCATATACATTTAGATAATATAAATTACGAAGCCAACAGTCGGTCTTTTGAAATATGAAAAAGAAATACTAAAGGTAAAGTTCAAAAAGTGTAAAGCGAAATCAAAAACATAAAATTACAGTTAACAATGTAGACTTAAACAATTTGATAGCATTAAAATTAATATTTGATGTAGACTAATTTCAATATAGGGTTAAACACACTTTCAAACAGAAAAAAAAACAAAAGAGAAAAATGCTAAAAGTATGTAGTTTAAAATGGGTCTCATCCTGTGTCCTTGTCAACTACTGTTGACTTCCATATATAAGTTTATTTCCAAAATCTCAATAGATGCTTATGTAATAAAATGTGTTCGCTGCCATGAGATAATTATGGTAATGATTTCCGAAACATTGACTTCAGTGTAATGTAGTATATAACCCCATAATCTTTCACTTTTTAACAAGTTTCTCGCATTTAAAAAAACACACTTTACCAGATGAAAACGCGTATATGACAAAATTGCAATAATGTATTTTGAATTTGAAATTATAAAACTGATTCGACGCCTCATTCACTTGTTTACAAGCGTGAACATTATTGACTGTTTATAGTTCTTAATTCAAAATATTTAACTTGTGATAATTAATTTAAATTTAATAAAGTGTTCCTCTTTGAAATATTCTAGAAAATGTTTAAGTAAATCAAATTGGAAGCGTGACATTGCATAATATGTGTATAGCCTGTTTTAATATGTAAGCACAAAATGTTTCAGAAAGCCGAGTGTTATGGATTAAATTTGTTCCGTCGGGGACGTGTTAATTCTATCATTCGTTTTATCCTTGACTTGTTTATATTTAGATTTTCACAAAGGGAGGCCAGAATACTGAGAATAATTAAAAACGACCTTGACGACCTTGGGGTCGGTAGCCATTTTTGTCAATCAAGCTAATACGCACCTTCTTAGATTTCAGCTCAAATTATCGGTTATTTAAAATGCACAGTAATACTTGAGTAATATTTTAGTTGTGCTTTTATTATACCAAACCTTTTGTATTATTTTAATCATAACTTAAAACAACAATATAAATTAGGCTACTTTGTTTTCTTTGAATTTTATCATTTTATTTTTTATATCTTAAAATCTGAATGTAAGTGTTAGAATGGTTTAGGTCCTGTGTTCTATTTCCAGATAAATAAAAAGTACATACACAAGTATTCCTTAAAGACGCTTTCTCGAGCTTGTAATGCTTTAAGCCTTGTAGGTGCTGTATTTTATATAAATAAATTTGAAATTCTTAGGGTTCTTTATCTAAAAAATATATTTGGTCGTATATCATCTGGCATGACGTGAGTAATAAAAGTAACAGCTGTATCACGATGTAATCAACAGACGAACCTATTGCTATTATTGTATATTTTATAGAATTCCTCGCTGTGCCAAGTGAGTCACAAATTATTGTTATTATTATGAAAATTGTTCATACTTCTAAATTTAATTTTAACCGCAGTGAATGAAGCTAAATAGTGCAAAGTCCTGCGGGTGAAAATTTTCGCGACCCATCTATACCCTTGAGATTAGTTTTCTCTGATTTTCAACACTCGTTTAAAGTTTAAATTGCTTGGGATGTTCCATGACAATTATGTTTAACAACTTTAAGTTTAATCTGTTATGAAATTTCGTTATTGACAAGGTAATTTATCCTGGCTTTTACGTTGCATTTTTTAATGTATAAAGAGCGGGATTCATGATAACGGGATGCAGCCAGCGTTAGGGGATTTTGCCTAAGAGGTAAAATTTTTACAAAACAAGTCTTTCTTCTTCTGTATATAGTGCCATCTCTTTGCGAAGGTTGGCTCATAATGGCTAATTTAATTTTGGATGCCGCGCTTCTAATCAATGTCTCGGTGCTTTGGCCAAACCATTGTCTAAGGTTTTTTAACCAAGACGTGCGTCTACGGCCAGGTCTCCTTCTACCTGCCTTTGCCTTGTATGATTAGTTGAAGGAGCTCGTAGTTTTAGTGTTACGTAAAACGTGTCCGAAATTTTCACGTTTCCTTTTCATAACTGTCATAAGCACTTCTTTGTTCTTCTGTTTTCTGTTCAGCACGGTTGTATTTCGTATTCGGTATGTCTTAGAACCCAGATCTCGATCGGTTCCAGTTTTTTAGACATAACATAACATCGCGCCATTCGCATTCTAAGCTGTCAAACTTAGGTGCTTTTCACAAAGCACTTTTAGTTTTGAAAAGGTATCAAAAAAAAAGTCTTTGATTACATTATTTTGCTTATGAGTATAGGTATATTTTGTTCATCTAAAAACATCTCGAGCCTTCGTGGCTATTAAAAAATAAACTTATTTATTTTAGTCAGTTTAATAAAAAAAGTTCATTACGCTTTATTAAATTATTTACGTTCAAGAATAGAACAAATATTTAAGAGTTTTAAAATTACGTATGAAACGTAATTTCGTACAAATTTTCCGAAATGGATGCTTAACGGACCGTTAAGTATATATTTCAACGCTTAAATTGGTTTAAAACAAGTCCGAATGTATTTTTACGATACACTGTAGTGAGTTTGTGCGTAAAACAATTTTAATTATAAAATACTTGTATAATATTGTATACCGTGACTTGTAGCCAAGTATAATGGGGTATGGGCCAAATTTTTGAATATTTTTCGCTATTGATTAATTTTGTTTATAGAGAATCAGTTACCAGCTTGTCCTTCTATGTTCATCATTGTATACATAAAATTTTTGTATATGCTATACTATATTATAGTTTTTGAAAATTAATCAAAATTGATTTTTATATATTTTATCAATCTAAAAGCTGTAGGAAAAAGTATCAACTTTTGCTAATCTTTTTTAAATAATAAACGGACAGTAGGCTCATCTGATGTTAAGTGATAGTGTCCGCCGCCCATGGACACTCATATTGCTAGAAGGCTCGCATAAGCTCTTTTCTTAGTCCAATTAGTTCAGAAATACTGCAGTGCGTCATTGCCTTAAAAAACGCTCAGTTGTGTGTAATCTTTCCGGGTACACTTTTTCATTTACAATATTTGAAATAAAGACGAACCAACTTTCGCGATCGTTTTGCCAATGTTAAGTCTACCAGAATTATTTAATATCAGAAGAGCCAGCTTACCCTCATTTCTATTGAAAAACTCTGAGACATAAAGAATGCCACAGGAGTATCAATCAGACCAACTATACTCTTAAATCATACGTCTAATAAAATTCCGTGCAGCTGACGCGGGCCCAATCGCTCTAATAAAAACAATGCACGATATATGAGTGAAGTAATATTGCTTCCAAATTCTGGATAGAAGAGAAAATGCAATACAGATTGCTAAAAGATTGCATCTTGTTGTAAATTCGTTGAT